TCTAAATAAATATGTCACTACTTTATATATATATAAATTTCTAGGTTTCTTGCTTGTAATATGGTGTAAAAGAAATTGATTTAAAGCTAATCCAGCTTTTGCAAACCTTATTTGAGAACACTTGTGCTAATGTGCGAGCTGTAAATAAGATTTTATGTTTCATAAAATGTTTTATATTCAATCTTTTTTACATTGTTTTTGACATATTTAAATTAAAATTGCAGTTGTTGTTGATTTTTATGTATTAAGAACGGGGTCGACTGGATCGGGATCTAGTGCTCAATTAATTTAATTTTGCAGAAACACGAGGTGAAGCTAAATTAGTTTTAAATCTATAATTCTTGTGAACCATATTACCGACAAGAAATCTAGTAATTTTTATAAATTTCTCCATTTCAATTTTCTATTTCAATACTGTAGAAGTTTTTTTTCCGCGTGGTATTAAAATACGCTATGTACGCGGTCACAAATTTTCCGCGGAAATTTGTCCATAAAATTATTATATAAATTTAAGGCATATAGTGACTGTCCAGGAAATCTGCGTATTTTTCTACTCGCCGAATAAACAGAAATTGAGATTCGGCGGAATTATGACCCCGTGGAAAAAAAGTATGTTTACAGTATTTTCAAATCAGATTCATTTAGATCAGGAAAGGTACTAATTTCAACATCACCATCTTTTCCTTAAAGATATCCATTCCTTTTCATTTTTTATTGAGGATATGTTCATACATTATTTTTTTTTTATAGATGAAGAATGTATTTTGAAAATGTAATCTCGACTTAAAGATATTAACAAGTCGCGATTTACATTTACAATAAAAACATTTTACAACACTTTATTATTATCATTATTATATAAATAGTTTTGTTTCAAATATAATATAAATTATTTTTCTCTTCAAAAATCTATTTAAAAAAAACCAACCCTTTTAGGCAAAATTCGTCCGAGAAACGTGATAGATTGTCAATTAATCAAAAGCACCTTTACGAAAAAATAATAGACCCATCTACACATCTCACCTCCCGACAGTGACTCCAGTGAAATAGGAATGAACAGTCTTATGGACATAATACTTTAATTATAATACTGAAACATTTTACAAATTAAGATTTTTATGTTCTTAACACATTTTAGTTAATTACATGTACATACAATTGAAGGGGAGAATTAAAGATACATTAACTTAATTTGAAAATTAATTTAAAAAGTTAATGTGGAAGGGGATGGTGGTGGTGGTGGTAAGTACAGATAACTGAGTGATCAATAATATACATATAATAAGAGAAATGATGAAAGTGGAAGTCAGTCCATAAATTATACAGCTTTATTTAAACAGAAAACACATTACTGCAATAAAAACGGTAGGGTTGCACCCCAATCCCCTCCGCCTGCCTAACCAGGGGCTCGTTTCTCAAAAAGGCCTACGACCAGTCGTAAGCTTAGTCCGGACTAAATCAGGGACTAAACCCGACAATCGGACTAAGTTGCGTTTCACAAAAAGGCGGAGACTTAGTCGAGACTAAATTGTGGTTTAAATCTAGGCCTGCTCGTGAGTAGGCGTAAGTTCTTAGTCTGTACACAACTTGGAAAAAGGGCATGTGTTTTAAACATAAAAAGTTAAAAGAATGATTATTTTATGCGTATACGATGTAATACCTATTCATATACATGTACATAATTATACGATATGCCAAAAATCGTGAAAATTATACTGCATTATGTAGGAAATTAGAAAGGTAGTTAAATCCATCGAAGATGCAGACTTTTTCCGCAAAAGGTGGGATGAACTAGAAGTTTGTAACTAAAAATTCTGAATACAATTTGGGTAAGATTTTTTAAAAAAGTGCCAGAATTTCATTTTTGAATGCAGGCACGCGTAGGGGGTGGGGTGCAAACCTATCGTTTTATTGCAGTAATGTGTTTTCTGTTTAAATAAAGCTGTATAATGTATGGAATGACTTCCACTTTCAGCATTTCCCTTCTCGGCTGAATATTTTGATCACTCAGTTATCTGTACTTACCACCACCACCACCATCCCCTTCCCCATTAACTTTTTAAAAACGATGCTACATGCTGTAGGTCCTGGATAATTTTTTGTTGTTTGAAATGGATTATAATGTTTCAATAAAATCTTCAAACAATATTCATTTTTCATACTAGTATTTTAGATAATGAGAAATATTCGGTAACTATGCCATCAACCAAGTTAATGTACTTTAACTTAAGGACATACGCAACGTATCTCACCTACTGATAATTTTTCAAGATATTCTAAATTTAAACTTACAATACCATTACATGTTCTTAGACAAAAAATCTGAAAAAAAATTTGAAAAGATATCAAATTGTGAAAATTTTTGCATTATTCAAAGAAAAATGTAAAAAAAAATTACAAAACAGAAATTTCAGATTTTTTAAATTAAAAATTGTTGTAGAAGAGGTTTACAAATCCATATACAAACATTAAAGGTATTGCACACGGGTCCTTCATTTAGTGGAACTCTTCAACTCCAGGGAAGAACCCAATAAAGTTCAAACTACATTGCGTATGACCTTAAATTAATATACCTTTAATTCTCCCCTTCAATTGTATGTACATGTAACTAACTATAATATTTATAGAACAAAAAAAAAAAAATTTGTAAAATGTTCCAGTATTATAATTAAAGTATTCTGTCCATAAGACTGTTCATTCCTATTTCACTGGAGTCACTGTCGGGAGGTGAGATGTGTAGATGGGTCTCGTAAAGGTGCTTTTGATTAATTGACAATCTATCACGTTTCTCGGACGAATTTTGCCTAAATGGTTTTTTAGCTCACCTGAGCTGAAAGCTCAAGTGAGCTTTTCTGATCACATTTTGTCCGGCGTCCGTCTGTCTGTCCGTCTGTCTGTCTGTCTGTCTGTCCGTCTGTCTGTAAACTTTTCACATTTTCGACTTCTTCTCAAGAACCGCTGGGCCAATTTCAACCAAACTTGCCACAAAGTATCCTTGGGTAAAGGGGATTCAAGTTTGTTCAAATGAAGGGCCATGCCCTCATTTAAGGGGAGATAATTGGGAATTAATGAAAATTTGGTGGCATATTTTAAAAATCTTCTTCTCAAGAACCACTGTGCCAGGAAAGATGAAACTTATGGGGAAACATCCTCAGGTAGTGTAGATTCAAGTTTATTCAAATCATGACCCCCGGGGGTAGGGCGGGGCCAAAATGGCCGAACTAAGTTTTACATAGAAATATATAGGAAAATTCTTTAAAAATCTTCTTCTCAAGAATGACAAAGCCATTATTCATTATATTTATATGGAAGCATGCTCAGGTAGTGTAGATTCAAATTTGTTCAAATCATGACCCCTAGGGGTAGGGCGGGGCCAAAATGGCTGACCAAAATTTTACTTACAAATATATAGGAAAATTCTTTAAAAATCTTTTTCTCAAGAATGAAAAAGCCATAATTCATCATATTTAAATGGAAGCATGCTCAGGTAGTGTAGATTCAAGTTTGTCCAAATCATGACCCCCGGGGGTAGGGCGGGGTCAAAATGGCCGACCAAAGTTTTACATAGAAATATGTAGGAAAATTCTTTAAAAATCTTCTTCTCAAGAATGACAAAGCCATAATTCATCATATTTATATGGAAGCATGCTCAAGTAGTGTAGATTCAAGTTTGTTCAAATCATGACCCCCGGGGGTAGGGCGGGGCCAAAATGGCTGACCAAAGTTTAAAGATATATGTAGGAAAATTCTTTAAAAAATCATTTTCTAAAAAATAGCAAATCCATGATTGGTCATGGGACTACTTTTGGATTTAAACTTTACAATAAAAAGCCATTTTCTATTTTTTCCTACCCTTAGTGCTCAGGTGAGCGATGTGGCCCATGGGCCTCTTGTTTTTTAAATAGATTTTTGAAGAGAAAAATAATTTATATTATATTTGAAACAAAACTACTCCATAGGCGTAGTCACAAGGGGGGCAGCGGGGGCACTAGCCCCCCCACTTTCAGATCTGGGGGGGCAAGAGTATGTCTGTGCCCCCCCACTTTTTAAAGAGGAACAAAATCACAGCTATTTTTCCCCAACATTACCTTTACTATAGGAAATATTCGGATATATTTAAGGAAAAGATAGTGATGCTGAAATTAGTGCACTTTTTATGCAAATGAGGAAAAAAATCCAGAAATTTATGAAATTGGCTAAATAGTAGTATAAACCGGATGGGGGTTCAACTGAGTGCACTTTTTATGCAAATGAGGTCAAAAATGCTGGATTCTGATTGGCTGGGGGATAGGCGGGTCAAGGGAGTGCAGATTGGGGGGTCTGGGGGGATAGCCGGGTCAAGGGAGTGCAGATTGGGGGTCTGGGGGATAGCCGGGTCAAGGCAGTGCAGATTAGGGGGTCTGTGGGGGATAGCCGGGTCAATTCAATTCATTACATATAGCCCCCTAAATACATATAGCCCCTAAATATATATCTAGGGTGTTTTTTACTACACTGTGTTTACATTATACAACACACACAAGCTTATAACGATTCACAACGCTGCTACTACGATTTTGGCATCACGACCGTCAAAAAATTTTGTTTAGGGTCGTGTGCAAAAAATATGCTTACATATGCATTGTGACGTCATACACTTGTAAAATTAAAGTTTCATTTTCACTTCTGTTTCTAAGAAGTGAACTTACATTTTCAGAAAATGTAGGACTATCTTTTGTTTTTTCCTCTCTTTTACTATGATGATTTTCCTGCTGTGAAGCTTTTCTTGTTTAAAGCTCAATTTCTCTATGACCACGGAAGTAAACATCCTGATGCATTCTTACCATGTGAATGTTGAGACCGCGTTCATTTTTGAAATCTCCTTTCTGACAGACATATTCTTTATGTAAGTTTGTCTTATTTTTGTTTCCTATGAAGGTCATCTTTGCATTTAATCATAATTATCATAAGTAAAGTTCTATTTTGAATGTAAATGCTGTATTTATCCTCATTTCATGTGATTTACAGTTGTATAACCTGCATGTAACTCAGAGTGCATTTAATATTTGTATGATGGGTCATTCTATGATTGAATTTAAATCAGAAAAATATTCACTAAATTTTGGTAAAATACATGGTATCTTTTACATTTCTGTCCCTTTTGTCTGTAAATTATTGCTTTACTTACATTGTAAAATGAGGTTAAATGTGTATCACTGAATTGTATGATTTTTTCAGGATCAGCTGAGATGTTATTTCACTGGATTATTTAATGGATAGGCTTATTGGGCATATAGTTGGATATCTCTGGTAAGTTTGTCTTGTTTTTTTTAATTGTTTACATTTCCTATGAAGGTCATCTTTGCATTTAATCATAATTTAAATGTAAAGTTCTATTTTGAATGTAAATGCTGTATTTATCATCATTTCATGTGATTTACAGTTGTATAACCTGCATGTAACTCAGAGTACATTTAATATTTCTATGATGGGTCATTCTATGATTGAATTTCAATCAGAAAAATATTCACTAAATTTTGGTAAAATACATGGTATCTTTTACATTTCTGTCCCTTTTGTCTGTAAATTATTGCTTTACTTACATTGTAAAATGAGGTTAAATGTGTATCACTGAATTGTATGATTTTTTCAGGATCAGCTGAGATGTTATTTCACTGGATTATTTAATGGATAGGCTTATTGGGCATATAGTTGGATATCTCTGGTAAGTTTGTCTTGTTTTTTTTTTAATTGTTTACATTTCCTATGAAGGTCATCTTTGCATTTAAGCATGATTATATGGTTAATTTAATTACTGTGTAATACTTATGTGATATGTTGTCTCTAACTTACATTTATATAAGCACACCCTTATTTAACCTAAAATATATTAACACATGATTAAGGGATCTTCAGAATATTAATAAGTCCTTTTGTATAAATCATGATATAATTTCATAATTCATTATGTATGTTACCCATGGAATTCAGACTTACTAAATGGTGATCAAAGAGATATTAATTAGGAATCTAATAAGAGAAAAGGAAGGAATTTACAAAAGATTAATCCTAATAGTCATTTACTTATGTTTTGATTCTAAATATGTGTGATATATGGCATACATATAATTTCATTTTCACTTTTGTTTCTTGGTAATGAGCTTTAAAAAAAAATGAAGGACTACATGTTGTACTGTGATGATGCTTAAAAAAATGTATTTTTCTGTATGCAGTACTGACAGTTATTAAACCAAAATTGAATCTGCTGTTAATAAAAAGTCTTTTAGTGTCTAAATAATTAATTTGATAATCATTTTATTTGTGATATTAATACAGTAATTGTGCTTTTTTTTTTTACTATCTGAAGATAACATGATGAACTTTTCTCATCTGGAGTTAATGTTAAAAACAATTTTTTGAGATTAAAAACAAATATTTTCATGATCTTTTTTGGCATTGTACATGTTGTATTTAAACATGCATTGTTTCATGCAGTACTCTGTCATATTAACAAAATGCTTTTATTTCTACAGTCATCAACATGGAAGATATGTTTGTTCCTTACCATCTGTAATCAATTCTCTATGAAGTTCAGACTGTCTGCCCTTCCTTTGGAAATACACAGTTAGTCAATCAACATAGAAACACACAAACTTGAAGGTAAAGTTTCAATGAGATACAATTGTAATTTTTATTTATTCATTTTACATATGCATGTATATATTTTTGAATTGATAAGTAAATGATATATGATTTTTAAATAAAGAGGGCTTGGTGGTCATGGTCATGTTTAAACTATATTGATATCCTTTAGAAGAAGAAGAAAAGGCAGAAAAATTCATGATTAAATTTTAAAACTAAAATGTATGAAATTTTTCTTTGCCAAATGATAGTTAACAGCTGAAGATAGCATATCTATAGAATAAGTTAAATATGGCTAATTTGTTAACCCCCCAGCTTCCTTAATAGCATAGTTGGTAAAGATAAGAAGTTTTGACTTCAATTGCTGATGAATTCTGAATTTTCCATTTAATATTAACATTATATCAAAGGGAAAGAATACTATAATGTGGCTCATTAGGATGACCAGAAAAGAAATCTTAATGACCCTCTTGACTATGTATAAAGATTGTAACCTTATAACTGATGTAAGATGATCTGATTGTGTGGAAATAAAATTTCCTGGTGTTTCTACTACCCAAGATCTTCTTATGAGTGTATGGGACTGCTGTAAACCTTCTCCTGTTTATAAAAATAATACCTTGGAGCATGACACTTTATTCATAAAAGGTACTTTCAATATCATTTCTATGAGTTTGTGTTCTTTCTTTTTAATGATGTAGTAATGCATTCAAGTGTTATATCTCCTTTAACCTCATTAATATGTATGCTTCCAAAATCTTAGATCTGTCTGTATTAAATTTCTTCAGCTCTTTGAACACAAATATACCCTGATTCAATCTTTTGAGGTAAACATCATAGACATCATAGATGATTATCAGAGTGTATATATCACAATCTTGACCATAAGGTCAATTTAAATGGTCAAAGGCACAACAAATGAAAGTGAAAACTTTTTTTTTTTTTTTTTTAATCAGAATACATAATTTTGTAATAAACAAACACTGGAAAGTTACTCTCATAATGAGCCTTAATGTCTTCCAAGAGTTCAGTTTGGACTTCCTCCATTAATCCTTGTATCTTGTAATGCTTGTATCTCCAATGGTTTTGTGGGCTAAAAATCCTGTGTCTTTAACAATCTTTTTTTTTCTGACAACTGTTTTCTCTTATCATCTATAAACTTGACTTCTTCTCTAGTCAAAGGTCTTTCAGGGTAATCCAAGTAATTCTTACCCTCTTTTGGTAATAAATGGTTATATTCTTCATTGGCTTCTTCTGCAATCAAGGGTCTTTCTATGTAATCTCTGACAACATTAGGATCACCCTTTTCTGGACATAATTGGTTATATTCTTCTTGAGAAATGATCTCAATAGTGCCATCTTTTTTTATTTTAACTGGTATACCTCTGTCTACATCTTTCTCTGAAAGAATTCTCTCTCCAAACTGAATTTTACTCATTCCTTTACTCTTTTCTTTACTAGAGGTGTTACCCATGGTTAATATGAAAAGTCAAAATCTGATGTAACACCTTGTATTTATACCCTTTTTGTCTATATTTAGAATTCCATCAAGCTTATATTATATAACAATTTTTTTTTTCAACTAAGACATTTTTTTTTATTTTTCAGGATTCTCTAGTGAGGGCTTATGGAAATGATCTATGTCTACTCTCAGAATGGTGAAAGACTATCAGATTATGCAAAGACTAACAGAATATCCTCTCTTGGAACACTGAAACAAGAAAACCAAACTTAAGAGGATGGAGGATTTAAGAAGCACATAGATAAATATGATTTCCAACGAATTTAACCAGTATTATCATAGACTGTGGTTTACAGGATGACAAAGAAAGGACCCATGATTGTATCTTTCACTGTCAGACACTGAGTATGGATAAACTGTTATCATTTATCAGACTGAGATCTAGTCAAATCAAGTATTGAAAATATGATTTCTGATAGCATGAGCTCTTTAAAAACTAATTCTCACGGACCTCAAAGTATCTGAATGTGACTTTTATTTTTACCAATTCATATTGAAGACTGTTGTTATGTATGAGAATATACATTTAAACCTTTTATTTTTCATCTTATTTTTACAACACACTAGAAATTACACAGATATTCAGATGCTGGATTTAATGTTATTATTTAACTTTCCTGGAATTGTAAATATATTTTGTTTGTGTATGTATCATGTTTAATTTTGAATTTAAAATTGGTCTCAATAAGACCCCCAATAAAGATGCAAGTGTCCCATAATCTGTGGTTTAATAATATCTTGAATATCTTTATCATACCATATTCATCATACTAATTACATATAGAATGGTTGTAGGAATACACTTTGTTGTTTAGGACACTTTGTCAAGGTCAAAGCATAAGATTATTGAGATAACTACCTTTGACAATAATTTGTAACTTACAAACTTCACATCATAAGTACACAGATGAAGAATCAATAAGATATTTCTATAGATTTTTTGGATCATTTACTCCTGGGTAAAAGTTAGTTACTTACTGAGATTACTGATTTGAGTCCTGTAATGCAATAACTTAAACATTGTGTGATAACTTATAGACTTTATAAAAATTAGGTGCAAATTCTTAGGAAAGGATTGAAATGTTAATCAAATGTACAATGTTCAAGGGTGTTTATATGACTATTACTATGTAATACCTAGGGTTTCTGTAAAAATCCTATATTCACTACATAGATAAAGACCGGTATAATATATATTTTAAACTATGATGAAGGGAAAAAAAAGTTCAAAAGCTCTCCCCTTCATATCTTTCATATTCTGTCATACACAACAATAGATAAATTGCAGTCATTTAACAAACTGAGGTCTAATCAAATCCTAGAATTGATATTGTGATTTTCTGATAGTATGAAATCTTCAAAAAAAAAAAAAAATAATTCCCAGACTTCAAAGTATCTAAATGTGACTTTTATTTTTACCAATTCATATTGAAGACAGTTGTTATGTATGAGAAGTATACATTTAAACCTTTTATTTTTCATCTTATTTCTACAACCCCTAACAAATTACACAGATGTTTAAAAGCTAGCTTTGGTGTAATTATTACTTTCCTGGAACTGTAAATACATTTTGTTTGTGTATGTGTGTGTGTGTGTGTATTTTGAATTTAATAGGTCTCAATAGGACCCCCATAAAGATGTAAGTGTCCCCTGATCTGTGATGTAATAATATCTTGAATATTTCTATCAACCATTAGACTTCATGCTTACTACACAGAACAGGTTAGAGTAATACACTTAGTTTTATAGGACACTTTGTCAGGGTCAAAGCATGAGATTATTGAGATAACTACCTTTGACAATAATTTGTAACCTGCAAAATTCACATCATAAGTAAAGAAAGATTCGGAGATTTTCTATAGATTTTTGGATCATTTTTCTCCTGGGTAAAATTTAGTTGTTGTAACTTTAACATTTTGTGATAACCTAGAGACTTTATATCAGCTCTATTGGGTGGCATAGCATATTCTTTGGAAAGAATTGAAATGTAAATCATATGCACTATGTTCAAGGATGTTTAAAGACTATTACTATGTAATACCTTAGAATTCTGTAAAAAAAAAAAAAAAAAAAAAATTTATCACTGCGTAGATAAAGACTGGTTGGAATAATTTATGTTTTGAAATAAGGTTTAGGGAAAAAAGTCAAGAATGTGGATATGACTTTTATTCAAATGGTGCAGTACAGCAACTCTGGTGATTTACATACCTTCAGTCATAAATACATGTAGATAGGTATTGGGAAGACTCCTCTAGATTTTGAAATTTTTAATTCAAAAGTATAGATTTTTTTAAAGTTTGAAAGATTGAATAGCAGCATATCATTTGCTTGTGAATTAAAAAATAAATCCAATCATATACATCTTTAGATGATAATTGTAGTATTTTATCAATTCCTGGACTTCGGTCTTGATATCATCCTTATATGTCCTTAAAATTTTAATGACTGTCTTTTAGTTTTAGTTGAATTAGTTTCTTTTCTACATGTGAAAATTACATCATCCAAAGAAGTTCTTCATCTGTATGTTATATGAAGAAGACAATTTTCATCACAGTGAAAGAGATTGTTTTGTTAAACATAATGCATTGATGCACAAATATACTTTTAGATTTTTAATAGCTAGGGTTCATATTTCTTAATATGGAATGCTAAGTACTGTTGATTTCAATTTTTTGTGAACAAAGACATACTAGTAGAAAAAAAATGTACATGATGTGTTAGAAAAGCATGTGTAAACCTGATGACTTTATATTTGCTGATTAAATCAATTATGAGTTTCATCTTTGTTACATTGTAAACATTTCTAAGTAGGGCACACATCAGAAACTCTTAAAATTCTGACTATCAGGGTTTAACACAACAATTCCAAATGATTTTTGGACGCTTTTTATGTATCAAAAAAAAAAAAAAAAAACAGAATGTTTGTTCACAGATGTTCCAATGGAAAACAACCACAAAGAAATGATTTGATATGTTCTTTATGTGATTCATATAAAATGTATTTTGAAAAGTTGTACCCTAACATTTATCTTTTGCATAAATACATTTTTTGTGGAGAATTTCTCATAACTTTGAAAAAGTAGTCTTATTGTATAATATGGTTAAGGTGATTCCACCCTCACAATTTTATAGGTTCAAAGTACAAAAACTGCATTTATTTTCATTTAATATACTTTAAATTTTCCATTTATTGCAAAAAATGTATAGGTCATCATATTATTTAAGATGCAAAACATAAATAAATAGAAGTGTATGTCAACATAAAAAAATCGCACATTTTTTGTAATGGTATTATGAAAATATGTAAAAACTGGTTAAAATGCATAATTCTGATGCTTAATGTTCATAAATATTTCCTACTTGAAAGATACTTTTGAATTGTGAATATCAGGGAAACTATTTTACAATAAAGCAAATGCCTGAATGAAGAAAGAAGGAGTTATTGCCCTTGTCAACATTTTTTTTTATTGAATAATTGATTAAATATAGAAAATATGCATTTTTTTTTAATTCTTTAACTTAACAATATTTATCATTACACCTATTCTAATTCTTCCAAGACATATTTTTCTATTAGGTATGAATTTAAACTAATTACAAAAAACCTATGACATCATAGGAGGGTGGAATTACCTTATTAAAATTTTGGAGACTTTAAAGTTGTACATGATGTGTTACACATCTTACATATGTAACCATTTCATTTCAGGGCATTCAGCATATATTGTGGTTTTGTCTTAAATTTGTTTGTTCATGTAATCAATAATTTGAGAATACTCAAATTAGGTAATGCATGAGAGAATAGGCAAGAAAATCAGGTTTAAGAAATGGTTTTTACTATTTATAAGGGGTTAATCTATATATTGAATCTATAAGTACATTTAGTCTATACAATTAAGGTATTTATGTATGAAATAAACTTGCATTTGAGCATTTTAAGACAATTGTAAACATTACTTTAACCAGTTTAAAAAATGATTAGATTCACTGTCAGCATGTTAAGTCTTGTAAAATAAATGAGAAAACAAACAATTTTATTTGAGTCAGTTTTTTTTTTTAATGTAAATAAGAAGCATTGGAAGATGGGAATATTTCACAAAGTTGATTGAGCATAATTCTCACTAGGACAGTAGGAGTATTATGATTTAAGCATTAAAGAAACCATTTCATATTTCAATATACAAACCATGTTTAGTCATGCAGTATATAGTTTACACTTGCCAAAAAGTAAATGATATCTCTATTCAGGGTCAATCCAAAGGTCAAAAAGGAATGAAAAAAAAATTTTCTCTTTATGTATCAAACATGTAGGTATTATTGCAATAAATTCACTGTATTCATTTTTTATGTCCTCTTTCTATGTATGAATAGCTCTGATTTAGGCAATCAAAATACAAAAAGCAAATGAGTTATGTCAAATGATGAAGGTATACACCAGAAATTAACATGGACAGAGAATTTTGAGTTTCCCTCAAATATGGCTGCCAAGTGATGTGAAATAAAAACAAAATGTGGATTCATCTATTAGGATTGAGACTTGTACATATTATGAATGATGGGTACTATGACATTAAGAATGACATGAAAGAAATAAGTTTGATTCAATTATATAAACAGTTCTTAATCCATACAGTCAAAATGGAGGGCATATATTTTTCTTTATAGGCATAAAGTAACAAACACTCACCCAATGCATCAAAATTTTACTTTTTGAAGAAAAGGAACCCTACTTACTTTGTTGAGTTGACATTCATATTTTTTGTGTTTAACAGGTAGACTAATGGTTTCTGACTAGTATAATGAGAACTTTTTATTTAAGAGTCATCAGATTGTTCTGATATTTTGGTTAAGATATCTGCATGACATCAATTAATTTGTTCATACAAAGGGATAAAAGCTTTTCCAGGTTTCCTCTTTACTCAGATTAGATTGTGTCTTGCTAATATATCCAACATATAAGATACTCATCAAAGTCAAACAAAGGTAAATAAATGACCTTATTAAGTTTTTAGTCAAAAGGTCAAAGAGATGTGGACATCTGCTAAATTTAATTGTTTAGTTAATATTCATCAAACTTCATGGATAGGTTAATTAAACAAACTTCATATATTTTGATTTTCAGGTCAAAGATCAGCACAATTTTTGCTATACCATTGTTGTCCATGAATATCTTACCACCTCTATTGACTTTTCAGGTTAAAAGGTCAATGTATTCCTGCTACAGTAAAAAAACTTCATTATAAGGATCTCATAGTGATACTTTTTATTTGTAAGAAATTAGGTATAAAATCTCTCACTCTTTCTATAATATGTCACTGAATGTGCTCCTTTATTTTAGAGAGTTTTACAAGCAAATCATATACTGACTTTCAATCCTTCAAAACACAATATATATTGAATCTCGAGTTTCAGGCTTTTAGCCTTTTAGGATTTCAATCTTAAAAACTTTCAGACTTTCAATCTTTAAAAACTTTCAATCTTGAGGACTGAGTATTTTAATATTTATTTTGTAAGTCTTGTCTTTTATGTCATTACGATTAATCCTTAGTAATTCAAACTTTTCATATTTGTAAAACCAGAGTGTGAAAGTACAGTGTTTGTGTAATCTTCTTAATGTTTATCTATAAATACTGATTTTAATACAGTCAAATATAATTTTCTGATGATCAAAATTTCCAACTGAATTCAAAGACAAACTGCCTGACCTATACATATTTAGAATTTCAATATCATACACTCTTGAATATCCATAAATATCAAAATATAATGATTCAGCATTAGCTATCATCCATACACTTGTTAACCTAAGGAAGGCTCTTATCATAAGTTAAACGCATGAAATTCCTCATGCAATTTTGAAGAATTTCTGTTATAAAGGATGCTAAAGACAAAAGGCCCATAAATTTCCAAGTACATGTAGTAATAATTTTTTAAAACTGTATATCCACATTAAATTGAGTAACATTTGAAGAACCTTTTTTGCTTTATAACTCATGACATTTCATGCAGATAGTGGCTATAATGTGTAAATAATCTTAATGAAAAGAGGATGGTGTAAAGTTAGCCTCACCCCACACCCAAGGGAGAGGGGAAGGGGGTTGAACCCTTCTTTTGTCCAGGAAACATGAATTTTAAAGTTAAAAAAATTATAAAATTGAATTAAATTTGTTTTTTTAAAAAAAAAGTCATAAGATTGAATTAAATTAATTTTTCATTTCCTTTTTTTATTTATTTTTTTAACTTTATTTCATGTTTCCTGGACAAACAATTTTATAATTTTTTTTTAATCTTTATTTACATCTGTGTTCATAAGAATGCTAACAAATATTTAAAAATAAACTCTGATTTTATCACCTCATTGATAGTTTCCCCCCTCTCCCTTGGGTGTGGGGTGAGGCTAACTTTACACCATCCTCTTTTCATTAAGATTATTTACACATTATACCCACTATCTGCATGAAATGTCATGAGTTATAAAGGAAGAAAGGTTCTTCAAATGTTACTCAATTTAATGTGGATATATAGTTTTTAAAATTATCACTGTACTTGGAAATTTATGGGCTTTTTGTCTTTAGCATCCTTTATAACAGAAATTCTTCAAAATTGCATGAGGAATTTCATGCGTTTAACTTATGATAAGAGCCTTCCTTAGGTTAACAAGTGTATGGATGATAGCTAATGCTGAATCATTATATTTTGATATTTATGGATATTCAAGAGTGTATGATATTGAAATTCTAAATATGTATAGGTCAGACAGTTTGTCTTTGAATTCAGTTTTAAAATTTTGATCATCACAAAATTATATTTGACTGTATTAAAATCAGTATTTATAGATAAAC